TTTAAATAATTAACAAATAAAAAAAAGAATTAATTAACAAATTAAGAAAAATAAAAGGAACAGGAGGCGGGTCTCTTAATCAGGCTCTTCTATGAATGGTCACTCAGGAATAAAGTTATAATATAATAATGGTTGCGATATTAATTATTAACAATTAACGAACGACTTTTTGTAAATATAATAAATATATATATATAATATAAATATTAATGTAAGTATAGATATTCATGCAAACGATTAAATATATATATATATATACACATATATGTATATATGTACGTATATGTATATGTATATATTCGTGCATGTGTGTGTATATATATATGATATAAATCATGTACAGGGTAATTTGAAGAAAGCCGTACGATCGGACGTGTTGTAATGAATAAAATGTAGCGTAGAAAAAATAAATATATTATAATATTGATCCTCGAAAACGAAACTAATGATAATTATCGTATACACGTTTGTGTAACTGGTAAAAAATTAAAATTAATAAAAAATAAAATTATAATAATAATTAATAATAATATTAATAATAATATTAATACTAATAATAATAATAATAATAATAATAATAATAATAATAATAATAATAATAATAATAATAATAATAATAATAACTCGTAAATGATATAAACGATTTTATATATGAAAGAAAGAAATTAACTATAACGAACTATATCAATTTTTTTTTCTTCGCAATGAAGACTTTCAAACGAAAATTCTTTCAAATGTACGAGTCTCTTCTTCGAAGAGATAGAATTTATTTATTTCCTTCTAAATAAGTTATTTTCAAAATTAGAAAATTTTACCATGTAACCTTTTTCTCTCGTATGAAAGATAGAAAGAAAAATAAAATAAATCCTCCTTCAAAGGTCCGATCGTACAGCTGAGATCAGAATGACCCCGTACAAATTTTACGATTGCCCTCAACCCCCTTGAAAAAAAAATAAGAGATAACAAGCCTGATAGGAAAAAAAAGGAAACGTGTGAATATTGATTAATAATAATAATAATAATAACAATAATAATAATAATAATAATCAATGTGCAAGCGCGCGAAAGAGAGAGAGAGAGAGAGATGGAGTGTGATTTAAACGTGTTTGTATAATGCATGCGAGAGAGAGAGAGAGAGAGAAATAAATGTAAACAAAGAAAAAAAAAAGAAAAACTGATAAAACGAATAGTGGTGTTGGTAGAATTTTCTTCCATTGTGAAAAAAAAAAAGAAAGAAAAAGTAAGATAAAAAGAAAAAATAATCACGATCGACCAAATAATAATCGGTAAACGAAAATAAGATACTACGATGCATGTCACCAAAGATTGTTACTATTTAACGGGTTAATCAATCATCAATCAATCGCCAACAGTATATTATAATAATGAAAATAATTAAACGAAAGTGGGGGAAAAAAAAAGAAAAACAAAAAGGACAACAACAAGAATAAATGAAGAAAAAGAAGAGGAGGAGGAGGAGGAGGAGGAGGAAGAAGAAGAAGAAGAAGAAGAAGAAGAAGAAGAAGAAGAAGAAAAAGAAGAAGAAGAAGAAGAAGAAGAAGAAGAAGAAAAAGAAGAAGAAGAAGAAGAAGAAGAAGAAAAAGAAGAAGAAGAAGAAGAAGAAGAAGAAGAAGAAGAAGAAGAAGAAAAAAAAAATGACAAGGAACAAAATAACAAACAGATAGATCATTCCGCGAAAGTTTATAACGATGCAAAAAAAAGGGTCGGGTGGGGGGTAGGAGGATGGATTATCTAACATTTTAATCCCCCTCCCCATTACCTCCTCATTCAGCCCTTCTAAATACATCTCGACTCCTCTGTACTACCCCAACCTCTATCCCCCTTGCCCCCATCCCCCCAAATCCGGGATTTAACGATTTTACTCGTAACGAAAAATAAATAAAAATAAACGAAAAAGAAGAAGAAGAAGAAGAAGAAGAAGAAGAAGAAAATAATAATAAGAAAAGTTATAATACGTTTACGTGTAACTATAAACCATCGCCCATAATTCTTCGAGAATACATTTAAACAAAACTACGCCTCCTGGTATGTGTATATGTGTGGCGCATTGGTTGGTATACGTTAAAGTACACCTATACCATGCATTATAAGAAAAAAAAATGGGTATACATGCAATTTTCTTGTCCATTTCTACATGGTGTATATCTCTCTGTTTTCTTCCTCGACGATAAAAGTTATTTTTCAATTTTTAAGGATTTAGAAGAATCACACACTACTAAACAAACACATACATACGCATACACACACACACACACACACACACACACACACACATTGCTTCCACGTGCGAGTGTCTGTACGATCGGATTTGTCATTAGGAATCTTGAAATATAAATAGACGGTTAAAGTGGGAAAATATGAAGTTTCTGTGTTTCTTTTTTTAGTTTCCTAATAATCCTGACATCAATTAAGAATCAATTTTTTCCCTCTTTTAAATTTGCCTTTTGATTTTGAACTGTTTCATTAATGTCGACCCCCATACACTACTGGTCGTCCGTGCAAAAACCTCGTATGAACGACCGACCGACCCATATAGGGGTCGTTGTACCGTGTAACGATATAATACTTTCGTACGAGTGAATTTATATGCAACGATATTCGTTCCAAGCACGCCCTAACTAAAGAGTTAATCGTCATTTTTGTTTCAGTAATATATTATAATTTTAATCTTAATTGCAATTATATAAAAATAATATTATTTTTTTCCATAAAGACAAAGAAAATTATTTGTTTATTATATTAAAGAGAGAATGGTTTTTGTTGGACATTTTTAAAAAGAACTTTTCATGAATAAATTATTCCCATTAGAGGCTCGAATTAAATAGAAAATAAAAGAGAAAAGTTAAAGAAGTAATCTTTTAAATTTTTGTTTCTTTTTATTTCATTATCTCGAATAATTAAAAGGTATTCTTTCTTTCATGTCGAAATAATATTTAAGATTTAGAACACTTATAATTACTTTTAAGTATCTTCTCCTTGTCGTCCAATTTTTTTTTTAATTTCAATCTAACAATATATTATATTATTTTTATGTTTTTAACTCAGGGTTTTAATTATCAATTATAAAATAACAATCACCCTCGTCTATTTAAGTATATAAAGTATATATTCGACTATTAATAATAAATCTTATATATATATATATTTATATACGAGTATATATATTTATATTGAAAAGATAAAAGCCGATGTTTCTCGAGGTACGAATAAAGGTGGAGCTAAGGAAAAAAAAATATATCCATCTCTCTTTCCTTTGTTCGTTCGATCCTTCTTCTTCAATAACCAGGAAGTCGATCAATAGAAAAGTTTCTGCGAAGGATTGAAAATTCTCACCTTCTTCTTTTCTTCATAATCGAACAGTATTTGAACTTCAAAATTAATTATCTTAATGAAAACATTTCATTCGTTCATTAAAAAATAACAGATTATTTTATCGTAATATTACTTTTATCGATTAACAAAGTTTTAATTATTGTTACTTGCTCTTAAACAAAACTTTTTTTAACGAATAAATATTTTCTTTTTTTAACAACATATATTGAGAGATTCTTTTTAATTAAATTAACTTTCAGAAAATTTGCACGAACACCTGTAGCATTTTTTTTACTCTTCACCGATGTATAACGGGTTGCCTACACCTAGGAACTGACGTCGCCATTTAAACGCGGGATAATTTCAATGTTTTATTTTAATATCAAGTGATAAAGAAGAAATATGTTTAATTGATGAGATTTGTAACTAAAACTAATAATTTGCCTTAATTATCTTTTATATACAAGAAAACCCTTCGATTATTATTTATATAATCTACTGATTTAATATCACTCATGGTTTGAGTGCACTATTGTGAAAAAATTTATATAGAAAATCGTAGTGGAACGTTACAAATACCTTATTGATTGTATTTATTTTTTAACTCGTATACTTTTGCAGAAAATCAATGGCGACATCATCAAGGAAAATCGAATTTGTCCATTTCTTTTTTCTTAATACTTTTTATGGCACTTCTCAGTTATCGTATTATCGATCATATGCTATTGTGTTCGTTATAAGAATGTAAATACGTGTAGACAAGAAATTAAATTGCTATGAGACTCTTTAATGAGATTACTAATCAATTCTGATTCTTATTTTCTTTCAAATTTATGTTTTTTTGCAAAATGCAATAAATATACATTCACACACCTACGTGTATAGATATATTAATTATTAAAAATATTTTGTTTAGAAAATTCGTAGTACAATAACAATTATATATCAAAAAGAACAAAATATTTTATAATTTCATTAAATATTAAAATAATTTTCATATATTATTCGAGTATAATTCGACAAATTTGAAACCCTACCAATGAACTCGACAATCTATATAACTATATACGTCCCTGGATCGTAAGAGAACTCACAATGTATATATATATATATATATATATATATATATATAACTAGTTCGAATCATCGGCACGTTATTTTCCCTCTCCCTCGTTCTCTAACTCCCTTTCTTACCTCTCACACTCACTCTCTCTTTCGCTCTTATTCGAGTACAATTTCCGTTTCGATCTATCGAACGTTTCTGATTGGTCGTCTTTTGTAGCGAGTCGAAGACAGGAATAAAGGTACTCTATGATCGGTTATATGCCAAAGGAAGACACGCCTATCGATGTTGCCGCGTAACCGTAGCCTCGAACCCAAAAGTCATCGGCATCGAATAAAATCCACCATACTTTTCTATTATTTTAATACAAAATAAAGTATAAATAAAGTTTAATAAATAAATATAAAAAATAAATTAATAAAAAACAAATTCTATTAAAGTACAAAAGAAAATTGTATAATACGATAGGTTAAAATACATTTTTCTTGGAAGAAATGATCGATACGATGGTGGCGCTGCCGTCGAGGCTACGGCTGGTAGTCTGTGTGCGCATGTCACATTGTAGGGACGATCTCTTTCTGTCTTGGCATCTAGAGGTGAGTGGTTGTCGTGTTTCATCTAAGTTAAGATAATCCAACAATTTTCGAGTGCTATTAATTCCATCGGTCATCAGGTAGGGGATAAAACAACGCGTTAATATATGGATAATTGTGTTGTGCCATGATTTTTTAACTAAATGCACGAGATGGTAAGAAATTTTAACACCTAAATCTCGGCCCTTGGTAGAAGGAGGTAAAAAAGGCGCGTGGCCCCAAGTTTCGTTGCACGTCTTCTTTATCTCTATATCTCTTTCTCTTTCTTTCTCAGTATATCTTTGCCGGCTTTTTAACTCGTTTCATTCTCGTCAAATTCTCGTTACGGTAAAACGAATTGTTTTAACGTACGCACTTAACATCGTTCCTGTTTTTTTGCGAGAAATAAAAAATGTACCGAAAGGTCAAAAAAGCCGACATTTTCGTTAGCGTATGTTTTAATATTCGTTGAAAAAAGAAATACAAGATTAAAGAAATTGTACAAAGAGAGTAATGATTCGCATTTTATGGAAAATGGGGTAAGAGAAAATGAGGAAAAGGAAAAAAAAGAATAAGAAAGGGCTAAAAAGCCAGGTACGGTGGAAAGAACAGGAGTACGAAACCGGATGCGCCATGATTGTTCTTCCCATGTCACAGAGTCGTCTCGAATATCGGTCGTGAAACAAATCGCGTGAGCTACCGTATTTTGTTATTTTTCATTATCATCGTCAACGTGCAATACTTTTATCTCTCGAAATAAAGAAAAATTAAGTTTATCTATTTTTCAATTTTTATTCTGGTCAAACGTGATTTTCGCATAGTTTTAAGTACAAAGGGAAAAGTATGCGGCAACATTTTTTTTTTTGTAATATCGAATACTCGTGTGGGCTGATATTAATTATCTTAAAGTATAAAAAAAAGATAAAACTAAAAAAAAAAAAAATATAATAAAAAACTAGGAAGTAACTAGAAACTTATGTTTGCATGCTCTAATTGTACATTTTTAAGTAATGACTCAGCGTTGCATTAATTCCATGAGAAAATTTAAATAATATAAAAATATAAAACGGTGAACTCGTAACAGCGATTAAATTATGAACAAAAATTATTATTCGAGTTTAATTAGTTCCATATTGTGCACTTCAAATTTCTTTATCGCAAAAGAGAGAAATATATAAGATCGTTGAATTTCTCTACCATTTGCATTATACATTCAATGCACATTCACAATTAGCCAATATATGGCACAGCATTGATCCATATTTATTATCGTTGGGGTTTTTTTTCGTGTGTAGGAGTATTATTAAAAAATCGTTACAAGATGATTAAAAATTTTTTTTTTTATAAGAATTTTTCTCGCTTACATTTCGAATAATTGAAAATAATAAATGAACTCATTGCAAGTTCTGAAAATGATCTCGAAATCTCGATTGGAAATTTAATTTAGATGAAAAGATAATTTTTTTGTTCTTGTATCATTTCGAAACGCGTGGGAGGGGAAGGGTTGAAACAATTTTTACGTAGCTTAGAGTAATTACGAAATAAAATTAAAAACTTGATTGAATAAAATATAAATTAGAGATTTAAAAGATTCCTCTTATTCTGATGCATATATTTACGTTAATAAAAAATTAGAAACTTAATCGGACCGTTATGCAGTTCGTGATCATCGAACACGAGAATTGCACCGGCAACGGCAGCAGCGCTGCTTTTAGCCTTCAACAAAATGGCGGCCGGTTTCTTTCTCGAATATTCACACTCGCCACGTGGGCCGGGAATAAAAAGGAGAATGATATATTTCATCAAACTATAGTTTAGCAAATTTAGATTGATCTTATTTTAGATTAATGGAAAATTATTAGAAAAAATCATAATCGAATAAATTGATGAAATAGGTTACTGAACACTTAATTATCAATACTACCATAAACTTTTTACAGTAAATGTATTTGAGATATTTTTGTTCTTTTTTGGTTTTCAGATTTTTTATTTAATAATGAAATATAATAAACAATGAATATTTCATTATTTTAATTATTGATTTTTTTGTGTTCTTAGATATAATTCAAAGAAAATCGCAGGAAAAAAAATTTCATCATGGGAAAAGAGAAAGTTCATATTAATATTGTGGTCATTGGCCACGTAGACTCCGGTAAATCAACCACCACCGGACATTTGATCTACAAATGTGGTGGTATCGACAAACGTACCATTGAGAAGTTCGAGAAGGAAGCCCAAGAAGTAAGTTATCAATCCTTATTTTTATTTATCATTTGTTAATTATAATTGTTTCATATATTAGCAATAATCTCACTGTTATTGTTCATTACTTATGACACGATGATGATAAATACTTTGGATACATTCGCGGTTTCCACCGGAAGACTTAATTGTCTGTTGACGGCCAATTCACGTCTGAGTGTCACATAATTCTTAACATATAAACAATTCATTTACCTAATTGATTAATTTTACAAAACAAAATGATAGAGGAGCAGATTTAATCATACTTGATTTATTTGTTATATTGTAGATGGGCAAAGGTTCCTTTAAGTATGCTTGGGTATTGGACAAATTGAAGGCTGAACGTGAACGTGGTATAACTATTGACATCGCTCTTTGGAAGTTCGAGACCTCTAAATATTACGTCACAATCATTGACGCACCTGGTCATAGAGATTTTATTAAAAACATGATCACTGGTACTTCGCAAGCTGATTGCGCAGTATTGATAGTAGCTGCTGGTACGGGAGAGTTTGAAGCTGGGATTTCAAAGAACGGACAAACTCGTGAGCACGCTCTGCTAGCTTTTACTCTTGGTGTTAAACAACTTATCGTTGGAGTTAACAAAATGGACTCTACTGAACCACCTTACTCCGAGACCCGTTACGAAGAAATAAAAAAGGAAGTTTCTTCTTACATTAAGAAAATTGGTTACAATCCGGCTACGGTTGCCTTTGTACCAATCTCTGGCTGGCACGGAGACAACATGTTGGAAGTATCCAGCAAGATGCCCTGGTTCAAGGGATGGACTGTTGAACGTAAAGAAGGAAAGGCTGAAGGTAAATGCCTCATTGAAGCATTAGACGCTATTCTTCCGCCAACCAGGCCAACAGACAAAGCACTCCGACTTCCACTCCAGGTAATTTCTTAATCATAATTAAATGATTTTTATATGTGCATTAAAACAAAATTCTATGAATATGATGATAAATAATTTTAACTCATTCGCGGTTTCCACCAGAGGACATTGTCCGTTGATGGCCAGAGACGTCTGATCTTTTTATAAATTAAATTTTATAATGTTCGATATTTTACAATGAAGATTATTAAAAATTAAATCTTTTCTTTTTGTAGGATGTGTATAAGATTGGTGGTATCGGAACGGTACCAGTTGGTCGTGTTGAAACTGGTGTATTGAAACCAGGTATGGTAGTAACGTTTGCTCCAGCCGGTCTTACTACTGAAGTAAAGTCTGTAGAAATGCACCACGAAGCTTTGCCAGAAGCTGTTCCTGGTGACAACGTTGGTTTCAACGTTAAGAACGTATCGGTCAAGGAATTGCGTCGTGGTTTCGTCGCTGGCGATTCAAAGAATAATCCACCAAAAGGAGCAGCCGATTTCACTGCCCAAGTATATATTTTGACATATATTATGAATTACATTTAAATTAATATGAAATTTTTATAAAAGTAAAAAATCATCTCACAAGGATGGTGGTAAATGAAAAATGATTACAAATTGACTATTATGTTACAGGTGATAGTATTGAATCATCCAGGACAAATCAGCAATGGTTATACTCCTGTATTGGATTGCCATACCGCCCATATCGCGTGCAAATTTGCCGAAATAAAAGAGAAGTGCGACCGTCGTACTGGTAAAACTACTGAGGAGAATCCAAAATCTATTAAGTCGGGAGACGCAGCAATAGTGAACCTTGTGCCAAGCAAGCCAATGTGCGTGGAGGCATTCCAAGAGTTCCCTCCGCTTGGACGTTTTGCAGTACGTGACATGCGTCAAACAGTGGCAGTCGGTGTAATCAAGGCTGTCAATTTCAAAGACACAACAGGTGGAAAAGTCACCAAGGCCGCCGAGAAGGCCCAGAAAAAGAAATAACTAGTTTCCGTATGCATGTATCGCCGGATGGGCTCCGGCCTCTTGTAGCTGAGGTAGTTGCTCCTCTTTCTTCATGCCTTTCGTATAAGAGGAAGTTTTTATGCTCGACGTCAACGTTAACAACAAGAACAACATTATTAACATCTATTACAACAACAGTAATCAAGGCATTTCCTATGAAATTGCATTCCGTTAATAAAAATAACGAGAGCAGAATCAACAAAGGGTCGCGACGTTACGGATTCTCCAAATCTTCTAACGTCCAGATTATTATTAAATCTTTTTCACGTTTCTTTGGTATTCGTAATTTTCGTTTATCAAAGCGTTTGCTTCGTCATTTCTTCCATCGTAAAGAATTTCGTAGGAAAGGCTACGAGTATAAATTAATTATATGATATATATAAATATATATATATATAATATACGCTACGAACATTATTAATATCGATTAATATTAATATTAATAATAAAAAAACATTAACAACTAAAGCGCGCACTTCCTTAACTTGTACGATTTACATGAATCTAAGAGGAAGTCCAAACTACGTAAGGCTATCTCGCGATAACGAGTTTCTTTGGAAAAAAAAAAACATCAAGAGAAAATTCATAATTTAGCTCGGCTTAATTATATTTTCTAATTATTATTATTATACGGAAATAATAAAATCCTATATCTGTGACTTATTCGAGAAAACAAAGCTAAACCAACATTTTTCTCATTACTATTATATTTTTGTCGTTATTACTGCTAACGAAAGTAATCATCATCGTCATCCTTTTTATCCGAAACGCTTCCATTCTTTTACTACGGGAAGTTTTATTTAGCGGTGTCTGTTCTTTCCTTTTTTCTTTTTTTTTTTCGTCTTTTCCTCTAATAATTTTGATAAATATCGTTTCCTTTTTTTGTTCTTCCAACTTTAATTACATAAATCCGCGTAAGCACAAAGGTAAGCACGATTCATATGATCAAACCTTTAATTTTTAAGTATTACGCGGAATATTATAATGCAGTGTGTAGTAGGTTTTGGATAGATTTCGTTTTAGGTATACGGGACCTGTTCTTTAAATATTCATCTTTTTCAATTATAAGATTAGGTAACAGTCTGATTGTGTGCTCAAGATATACGTACATACGTTGCATAGTCCCGTATGTTTATTCGTATAAGTACATTTCTGCCTTTAATATAAATGTATTTAAATTACAGACAGAAATATACAAATTACAAACGAACTATGGACTATATCGTACCCATATACTACACGTAAAAATAACTTTTTTACAATGGTATACACTACTATTATTACTACTACTACAACTACATATATATATATATATATATATTGCTTTTTATCAATGACAATTTTCTTTTTACTCGATCCACATAGAATTATTGTTATGTGGTGATGGTGAATCGTGTTATGTGCAGGAGCAAGCAATATCTTTGCAGTAACTCGGCACTTTAATCTTTGACACTTTGCAAAATAAATTGGTTAAGAAAAACAGTTTTTCTGTACATATGAATAACGATAATAATGAGTAGTAAAAGGTGAATAAAGAAGCTACGGAATCCAATATTTTCTTTTGAAATAATTTCATTACTAGTCTCTATCCTTCTTATACTCTTATTTTCTTTTAACATTTAATTTTAAAATATATTTATATATTTTTTTTCTTATTCTGTATATATAATTATTACATTTTATTCATATTTTGCGTATCTGTGTATGCGTTTTCTCGTATAAATTTATTTTTTTATTTTAAAATTAGTAAAGAAAAACATTTTGTTACCGACAGAAGATAAAAGTTATTTTTCAGAACTTGATGTAATCGATGACTAGATGGCGCTGAGAAACCTATCGACATAAAACTTTACTACGAAGATCGATATCTCGTACACGATATAAAATTTGAATTTATTTGATATTGAGAAATTTATATATACTCATTATCCACGAACTAATATAAATATATAACACATGTCTTTGAAATTTATATTTCACATGTGAATGTAAAATTACATTTCAAGAATTTTATTTTCCTATTTGTTTAAGTAAAATCGAAGATATCAATATATATATAAATTATTAAATATAAAGTGTGCACGTGTTAACGTGAAATAAACAAATATTTGTTAAAGATCAAAGTGGATAGGAAAAAACATTGTTTACTTATGGGAATAATTTAGAAAAAGTAAATTTGTAGAAATTATCGAAACAAGAAGAAAAAAGAAAAAAAAAGATACTAATTGAATTGAAACAATTAATTAGACCACTCCTACTAATTATATTATTTCATTACCGAGAATTTTACTATCGATGATGATAGTGTAACATTAGTTTACAGAAGAAGATAAAAAAAGGTCATTAGTTTTTAAATATTATTTACAACGATGCACTATCCTACCATATGATTCATAATATTCCATTGGAGTTGTTTGTAAACTAGTTAGACACCTATGAATATTTTATTATCATATATCTAAACTGTCTTTCTCGGTACATTTAGAAACCAAGTCGTGCAAAAATTACGATCACTCAATACGTTGATTTAAAAAGATTAGAAATATTGACAATATTTTCTACTTTATAACAGATTCCAATATTTGATAATAATAATAGTCATTAATATTTACATTAGGAATAATTTGAAATAAAATATTAAACACGGAACAACGCTTATAGTAATATACAACTCATAAAAAATAAAAACAATAATAATTACTTTAACCCTTGTTACTAGCAACCCTTATATACGGGTCATTCATACAAAACATTAATCAGTATAGGGGTAGTTTAAAGCAACGATACATATGTAGGAGCTAATTATTATTTTCGTTAACTTGTTAAAGAATAAAAGAAAATTTACTAATTATCAGATTTAATGTTATTAATTTTGCACGTTTTCTTAGCACATTTTTGATGACAAAGAAAGAAAAAAAACAAAGATAGAAATATTGAAAGTAATTATTACCTAAAACTTTACTACTGAATGTTCATATTTTGATTATTATATTTGGTTCAATAT